CCAGGATTCTTGTAATTGGGCTTTAATTGCCAGAATATAAACACATCCCATGATTTAGAAATCAATCCCCGATCTCAGCCACAAGTGCGCAACAGAAGGCCGAATTTGATGAAACCAGTGGATTTCAACGGAATGGGAGGGATTTGTGGAACTACAAGGTGACACGAGGACATGAGGATAAGACCACAACTCAGACACAATGTCTGGGAATCTGCTTTACAAAATTATCACGAATTCTTATTTCTCGGGTTTGTTAACATACAGTATTCGCATAGTGTTCTAATGGTGCTTCCAATAAGGATAACACATTCTCAAATTGCAAAAGGGCTAAAATGTCCATTTTAAAACAAGATCATTTCAAGAAAAAATAGAAGTACACACTAATTAACACAATAATTTAACTTGCTTCATTAATTCATGGAGTAAACTTAACTTGAGGTATAAGGTATTGCTATTCAAGCATCTAAAGCTTAAAGTCTCGGACAAAAATGATAAAAAGCCCAATTTCACATTTTTTATAGTGCTTATAATATTCTAAATGAGTTAATTTGACTTATTGATAATTATATTATTCATTGGATATTAATAATATTCTTAATCAATAAGTTAGAGTCATAACTTCAAAGCTTCAATCTGACAATGCGATCTCCCCGAGTTGTATTTTGTTCTGTGCAGTGACCATCAGGGACACGTCGACAGCTATTATTCTCAGACATCTCAGCTTCATGTCTCCAAATGTTTGTTATTTCTGCAAACCAAGCGCTGTCAATGTGTATTCTGCCCTTATACAGCCCGTCGCACAGTGTCGTGTTCTATTAGCTTAACTATTATGAAATATGTAAAAAATTCTGAACAAATAACGCCACCTGGGGTCAAAGTTCGCATTTTCAAGTATGTAAAATGGCGGTAAATCAGGTCCTTTTTAAAATACTAAAGAGAAAAGCATCAAATCAGATGATTTCCTTCCAGGACGTCTGTAAGAGAGATATGTAGAAGAGGAGAGACTGACATTGAATCTCCATATAATTTAGCTTCTACTCAGGTCTCTCTGTGGTGTACTCGACTGTCACCACAGCCTGTGTAAGTCAATACGACTCTGCAATCACTTAAAGCCTGTAGTTAAATAAATTTTAACAAATTAATTGTCAAATGATTTATTGCTGTTTTAAATCAACTTAAATAAAAAATTATTTCGATAATTTATTTCAAATGAAAATAGGGAGTGAAATACTGGCTGCAGTTTTCTTTCAGTCAGTCGCTATTTTGACATTTGAAATGAAGATTCAAGGTTTTGAGATGCGGCTTAATCACTAATTCTGGACTGAACCAAATGAACTAGACTCCGGTGCGGGGCATCACCTTACGACCAAAAGAGATAGCGGACTACGTAGCTAGTAAGAGGATCTCCAGTATTACTGTACCTCTAGATAACGTCACAACGTTCAGATGCCAGAGGCCCTGTTCTAGCAGACACACTAGGCGCGGGGCTTAAATAACAATACTTATCGACGAAATCATGAAGCCTGATCCCCAAACACAGTTGGATGTATACAAACAATGCAAACATGAAATCTGGTTTTTACTACAAAAAATTGTTGAGTAAACATCATGGGGAGGACAGTGCTGCGTTCTGGTTGGGTTTTAGCTAGAACAACAAATAGAGAAATATAACCCATAAACTTTACTGCTATTACATTCCATTTTCAATAAGACATTTAGATAGCATCTTGGGAAATTAAAAAAATGATAACTAAGAATGCGGATCTATTCGGTTCCCGGATTCATGAGTAAATTATAAATGAAAGAAGATTTCTTTTGTCCTGTGGAGTTTTCTAGTAATCAAAGGTTTAAAATAAATGCAGAATACATGAGATTAGATTTTAAACACGTACTTTATCATTAATTGAAACACATTGAGTAATTTTAAGATGTGACGATGTGTTACGTGTTACAAATGCAGTGGCTCTTTCGATGATTGTAATCTCCTGTAACATGTCTTTCCAGGTTTAAATATGATGAGTATTTACTACTAATTCCATGGGAAAGCCCATGTTACATATGAATATGATAGGTGATGTCACATTAATGGTGGCATATGTATGTAGATTTCATTATATATCTGTATTTCACAACAAAATACTGTTTTCTGGTTTGTTTATCATATTAGAATAGGTTTCGATTCTCACCGATGTTTGATAGTTTAACTATGACCAGGAAAAATACTCATTAAACTGCACAATGAATTCATGTTCACCTCTGAGATACTCTCTCATATTTGCCTCTGTGCCATTCTCTCATATTTGCCTCTGTGGCATTCTCTCATATTTGCCTCTGTGGCACTCTCATATTTGCCTCCGAGTCATTCTCTCATATTTGCCTCTGTGGCATTCTCTCATATTTGCCTCTGTGGCACTCTCATATTTGCCTCCGAGTCATTCTCTCATATTTGCCTCCGTGGCATTCTCTCATATTTGCCTCTGCGGCACTCTCATATTTGCCTCCGAGTCATTCTCTCATATTTGCCTCTGTGGCATTCTCTCATATTTGCCTCTGTGGCACTCTCATATTTGCCTCTGAGTCATTCTCTCATATTTGCCTCTGTGGCACTCTCATATTTGCCTCTAAGTCATTCTCTCATATTTGCCTCTGTGGCATTCTCATATTTGCCTCTGAGTCATTCTCTCGTATTTGCCTCTGTTGCATTCTCTCATATTTGCCTCTGTGGCATTCTCTCATATTTGCATCTGTGGCACTCTCGTATTTGCCTCTGAGTAATTCTCTCGTATTTGCCTCTGTTGCATTCTCTCATATTTGCCTCTGTGGCATTCTCTCATATTTGCCTCTGTGGCACTCTCATATTTGCCTCGGAGTCATTCTCTCGTATTTGCCTCTGTGGCATTCTCTCATATTTGCCTCCGAGTCATTCTCATGTATTTGCCCCTGTGGCATTTAAATTGTTATTTTGACTGAATAATTTTCAAAAATTCTCTTGGACCTTATTGCAATCAGAGAGTTACTAGATATACTTAAGTAGTAATCTGCTGGGGCACCTACTGCAAGTGCCAAGGGACAAGGTTACATATCATTGTTAATCCACATACAAATAGTTATAATTAATTACAATTTTGGGTGGTAAAAACGTGTGTATGTTTTATGTGAATAATCAAAACAAATCTGGGATCTGATCAATTCATAAAGTTATTAATTGGATTTGTATTTGAATATATTGACTTGGCCCGTAAGTGCTCTAGTTAATGTTAGTGTGCTTCATTTCCAGATCTGACATGTAAATGGTTCAGTGGCAGATCCCACATTAGCCATCATCTGTTGCAGCTTTGATCTTACTAGAACGGATTCACAGACTAGAAGCTCATTATGTTGTAATTACTGATTCAACTGTACTACAATTGCTGGAAACATTTTGGAAGTATCATGAAATGCTGAAGCCAGGGAATATTTTATAAAATTTCTACAAAGTGTCCCAGTGTATGTAGTGTTTGTAATGTACATGTATAGGAGATGGACGTATGATTGGCATAACATAATTCGAAATATCATTTCAATACATTTCACTTAGTACTACAAACCCAGGTCCCAAGAAATATTACTTTTTAAATCTTACCAATTTTAATCTTGAACCCGAGTCTACCATGTGAACAGTTCCATGGTTACAATATCTGTTTACACAAACACCATAGAAAAACAAAACAATGATTAATATAATATCTTATATTCAATATTGTATTTATATGTTTGTCAATAAATAGAATTCACAGACTGGAATAGATTTGCACTTATCATCTTGCCACCATCAGATAACATAAAACATAGAAATATAGAAATTATTTCTAAAACTGATAACACTACATCACCCGCAGTATAATTGGGACATTAGCTAATGGTTTCAAAATGTTTTCATTCTTAACAAAATATTTTGAACATTAATACCATGTTTTTGCAACTCTGTGTGTATTACTGTATTATGTATTTTGTGAAGCACTGGACTCAAATACACAGTACAGATCCTCAAACGGACAGACCATGATGTACACTATTGACTTTTATGCACAGTATGATGACCTGTAGCCAGCATTTGCCACGGGAGCATTCAATATTTTAAATTCCAGTGGTGTCAATTGGACCAAAATCACTTGAAAAGTGTGCAATGGTGAAAAACCATGATTTTGAAAGACTTTTCTGGCCAGGTTTGCTTGCTTAACCCCCCTCCCACAATGCCCCTGGCTACGGGCCTGGTATAGACTTCGATACACAACCATCAATCTCTTTTGCAATGGCTCTAATGCACACAGCCCAGTCCCAGGGTGAACATATATTTTTTATTTACAAAATAGGTGACAAGCTAAAACAAACAATACTTCAACACTATTTTAGAATCTCATTTTTAGTGGATTGGAATTGAATTTGAATAGATAGAACTTCCATTCTCACGCTCTCTTGCACCCCAGAACATCTCCCTGCCAACATTCAGCATTCCCATACATTGAAACATTCACTTTATTGATTTAGTTATTTAGAAAGAAACATTCTCATGCCAAAATATTTGCTTATTGTTGAAAGCTGAGTGACAAAGTGAAAATGAAATGTCAGATTCTCTAATTTGAGTGCCATAACGATAGCAAATTAAAACAATGATTCTGATGTCCTTGTCTTGAGCAAGGGTCTCTGATATACGATAATGAATGTGCATTTAAACTATTGTCATCAAAGTCATCACTTTCCATAATCCATTCATCTTTCTCTATTTCAATATGAAATGTGAAATTCACGCAACAACAATGGACTTGTTTGATATGAAAACTGCCATGCCAATTGCCATCAAATGGCACTTCCAGATAGCCAGCTTCTAGTCAGGTGTGTTAGGTCTATAATGAGTTTAAATAAAATATTCCTCCTAGATACATACACAATTATGATTTTCAAGTACCAAAGATCCCCTCGATCTCAAATGGATCTTTGGACCAGGAATAAAAGTCCCTTTGGAATAAAAGTCCTATGTACAATATTCCTTGTGCTAGTCTTCCAGTAAGTCCTCATCATCCAGATTTACATCCTGAAAATACAATTTAAATGTTGAAGCACTATTTACATTCTGAAATGATAGTTTGATTGTTCACTCATTTATTCAATGTGTTTACTCATTTATTCAAATGTTCACTCATTTATTCAATATCCAAGGTATAATGGTACATACTGGAACACAATCTGTTTAGTTATAAGACTATACTGAATTCAACAAGTATTAATAAACTATCAAATGATGTCTAAACTGCATAAATACAAATACATGTGTTCTACCGCTGCTAAAATCATAAATATAAAATTCAAGAATTAACCACATTTAATGCTCTGAAAATTGTCCACCTTTAAAAATACTAAATATCTTTCTTCAATTTGTAACTTCATTTTAAATATATTTGTATATATACCCTAGGGCCAAATGTACATCTAACAATAAAAATATTATTTAATTTACAGAAAAACAAAATATTTTAAGAGACAATTTTATGAGCCAAATACCATCAATATCTTTCATTTGATTTTATTCCGTGAATACCTTTATTTATAAATTATTCACAGAACTATTTATTGCATAATACTTAAATTTTATTCCACACTTTCAAATATATTTAGAGGGACCAAGTATTCAAATGAACTCTAAGGACACAGAACTATTTATTGCATAATACTTAAATTTTATTCCACACTTTCAAATATATTTAGAGGGACCAAGTATTCAAATGAACTCTAAGGATTGTGTGTGAAGTCAATCATATGTTTTATTTATTCAATTATAATTAATTTATCTGCACACTCATTATTTCAGGTATTCGTGGTACATGTTGGTTTAGATTAGATGTTCAGTGTTCAGATCTTGTTAGTGGTTCTATCAAGTGTTTTAGTCTAGCAAAGATAATCTGTTGTTTAGATCCCACTGAGGATGTTAAATCAAAACAAGATGGTGTTTAAGTTGGAGTTGAGAGGGTGACAATAGCCAAGATTCACAACACTCAACTTGTGTGCGGTCAGGTCTCTTATCAAAGGTAACTCAAGAAATGTTTGCTTTCAATAAAAGATATTTGGTCACAAATAAATGTATCAGTTTAATGATTTAATCCTAAATTATCTCCCATTCAAAGATTGGGGTTTTAGATTTCTTAAGGCTCTTAAGACTGGAGCCGTACTACTGGGCCAAAGGGGTTGTTTAACAAACACACTGAATGTTTAAATGAAGATTCACTAAGATATCTAAACTGTTACTGTGTATCCCTTCTATGTGATACATTGTAGCTATATGTATATTCACATCCAATCTCTGGCTCAGTTGACTTGTGTAAGGTCCTTGGGTCATTGGTAATAATATGAAATCATATTTCCCCAAAACATTGTGATGTTTTAACTAAACAAAATCTGATACAAATCAACAAATATGAATATAAGGCTGTAGTTATACTTTGCAGGTTGGGTTCTATTTTTGTGAAGCTGGGATTAAGTTACATTGGGTTGAAGCTAAATGTTTTTACTTATAAAACTCTTAGTTTATAAATAAAAACAGGCAATCAGACATAAAGAACAAGTTTTTTCTTTCAAGCTTGTTTTATTTGAAATGTTTTGATTCATTTGATGTTATTTACGAAATTTTCCAGTTTAATAAAAAAAACTATGAATCCTTTTCCATCAAATATATTCCTGATGCTTTGAACATATTGTTATATGTTATATCCGATCCTTCCCCTTTGCCCCTCTCTGGCAGGTTTTACCTTCAACGAAAACAATTATTAGTTAATTTGATAATATTCCTCCAGTGGATGATCTCGCCAATATTTTCACAGTAAATATAAGTGAATGTTTGCAATATGCTAGAACCAAACTCTAATACTTGCGTTTCAACACTCTATAAAAAGGTCAAAAAATATTTGAACATATCATATCCCAAACATTTTGTTTGGAAACCAAAGACGCATGTGTGCTAGAATAGCATTGAATATTCAGTTGGAGCACTTAAAGTTAGCGACCAGATGGTAGAGCTTGCAACAAGGGGCTTCGCCACCCACCCTGCCCCTTACCCAATTTCAACCAACAATTAAAGTTGGAATTCCAGGCCCGCTAAAAAGAAGTCTGTATTTTTAAAATGGTGAATATATTGATTATATCGAGGAGTGTGCAGTTGGTCTGGTCGGCATGGCAACATTCCAGAGTCACTTTGTGAAGCAAAACTTCTTTCACACAACTTCTTAGGAATTTTCTAATTATCTCCCTACTATCATTGGGAAGCATGCACTGTATTTGCCTTGTTGTATATCAAGTCTACTGGAAGAAATCGATGTTCATTTATTGTGCGAATGATCTTACATGTGTAAGTGGCTCAGATACTTAGAAACTCAGTTTTGCGGAGATGTTTTTCAACATTCTGGCAAAAACACAAATAACGCTAGATGAATTAAGCCAAATGGTACGTTCTAAAAGTATGATTCTACACCAACACGCATTGCAAATAACATCCCAGCACTATTTTTCAACATTTTCAAACAGTTTTCAAAATAAGCTACATACTAGCACAGCTTGGTAGTACAGTAATGTATGTGATATGTAACTCATTGCTTGATTATATAGAAAAACAGAGTAAAATGTAAGTTTTTGTAAACAAAGCTATCACAATCAGCTAACTGACATTTTAACCATAACAAGAAAATATATCTTGACAAATTAGACATGCAGTTTGTATGGAGAAGAATAAACCACTCAAAATATTTTGAAATTCTTTTATGAATATCAGTGAAGCTTATCAATGACTCTAGCAATAGTTGCACATTTGTGTTAAAGTAGAAGTAGAAGGGGCATATGTTCATAGCATACATTTCCATTGGCCTTCATTTAGTTTGATTTCATTAGTGTGCCCAGGCATGGGGTAGTTGTCAAACAAAGAAAATATTAATTCAGATGTATTTTTAAATTAGAACTGTAAAATGAAGTCTCATAATAGTATTATTTCCCATTTTAGTCCAAATTTGCCTCATCAATGTAATTTGCCTCACCTATTTTTGGTCCTGGCTATGCACCTGAATTCTTTAGGATTTTTTTAGGAATTGAAGTCCCCAGATTTGCCTGTAGGGAATTAACATTAATAAAAAAGAAATACCACATGTTCTTAAGAAAATAGTTTTTCACCAAGAGAATGGTGTTAAACAAAAGACTCCAATTTGACATTCACAGTAGAAGAAGAAGGATTAGAAATGAATTTATGGTTTACTTACTGAAGTATCTATATTTTCATCTATATTTAAATTTTCAAGGTCAAGTTCTAATTCCTTTTCTATATCTGCAGCTTTTTTAGAGGCTTCTGTTATAGGTGGCTCTACTGGCTCTGTTTTTTGTGCACTAGGTGGCGGGGTTGCCTGAAAATAGTTACAAATATTCTAATTTATCAATTATTTCAAACATTTTAATATTTAGCAATGAGTATGTTATATTGTTGTACAAACAGTCTTTGAATATCATTTGATTTCAATACAATTATCTATATAACTAAACTGAAACTTCACGGTATACATGTTCCTGTGTAGATTCATCACTCTGGTAATATATTAAATAACTCCAGTTCATTTACTTCAGCGAATAATGATTTATTAACACATTGAAAATAAATCATTTTCTCTGCAGTAAATGAAGTTGAGTTATTTAATATATTATATGTTGTTAACATCTTTGGTGCCCAAGACTGAACAATATTGGGTGAAATTAAATAATGATTGATTGATAAATGTTGTCTAATGAATGAAACAAGGTATTCAGAGAAAGGAGGTGTTCAGAAGGAGGTGTTCAGAGAAAGGAGGTGTTCAGAAAGAGGTGTTCAGAGAAAGGAGGTATTCAGAAGGAGGTGTTCAGAGAAAGGAGGTGTTCAGTGAGAGGTTTTAAGAAAAAGAAAATGTTCATAAAAATGAGTTAAATGTAGTTTTGTAGACACTGCAATGTTCATCCAGCAAAAGCATTGTGGTCCTAGTGAACTGTAATGTTACTTCATATGTCATAGTTGAATACAAATAAACAGAAATGTAACAATTCTGTGTGTGATGTAAACCAGCTGTTTCTGCAATAAGTTGAACATGTCATCTTCGCTTTATACTTGCCAGTATGCATTTCACCTCAATACATGTAGTTACAAAACTAACCCTGTTTAATAGAAATAAGTAGATATATTTTATTAATATTTTTGTAATAAAATCATCCGAAAAAGTATGATCTGTAATAATGTTAAAATCTGCATAATTATCGCTGTTGTCATATTATTCAACATTTTCTAGCTGGTGGTAACTATCAAGCAACTGTTTAGTAATCCTATTGGCAATATAAGTTTATACATCTAGGACTATCAAGTCAATGATCCTAGGATACATTCAGATGTAATGTTTCAGAATTTCTGTAGCTTGAAGGGTTCCGCTTGAAACATGCTTTATGTAATCTAGTTAATGAAAGAAATTACAAAAGTAAACAGAGCTAAAACACAGTACAAATGTATAAAAATCTAAACTAAAATAAAACTATGCACAAATCCAACTATGTCTAAGCTAAGCATGCTAAATAAAGAAAATCCTAAAAAGTTAACAAAGACATGATGCTTTAAAAACTAAATAATGGCAAAGTTGCAAACCCATCAACACCAAACATCAAACAACATTTTTACTCGATTTTTGGAAAATTCATTTATACCTAAAAATTCATGAATATTTGCATTGCCAAAATACACTTTTAAATTAAATTTTGAAAAACAAATGCTTTTTGTGACCATATCCCATTGAAATGTTGTATGGTGACCTTATCCCACATGCACACCAATGTTATTTGATGCGAACCATACACCACACTAATTTTGTATGGTTGGATAATAAGAGTGACCCCAAGCCTCATGCAAGTCCAAGTTTGAATACCTCTTGGGTAGGAGGCTCTTCACTCTCTGTCTCTACAAGGCCTGATATGACTGATCTTAAACTTTCCTGGAGGTCATTAGGAGCATCTTGTTCCTGCTCAACTTCTACATCAACTGGACTGTCTTCAGATTGCTAAAGAAACATGGAACTAAACTGTATGCTGGCACAACAGAATAAACAAAATATGATAAATCATGAAAAACCTAAAGAAAATTAACTAAAATGTGACATGCATTGAAGTAAACTGAAAGTTAAAAACTGATTTAATAATTTGATATTAATTGCAGCAATTCATTATGCTTAATTGCAGGGCAATTAAATACTAGAAAGGCTTAAGTGGATACAGCAAGTGTAGTATCAACTCAAGCCTAACTAACAAGTAAATGTTTAATTTCTCTGACAATAATACATCAATATATCAAGCCGCAAACAGACAGCTACACTGCAAGCAGGGAGGTGAAATATGGCATATAGAAGCCATCCTGATTGGTCAATCCAGCTGTCTAGCAATTGGGGAAACAGAGAGGGATAGAAATGTTTGAGGTGTGTTCCTGCTGCCTTAAAATTGGGTTGAAAGTTGAAAGTAAGGTTACAACTGGAAGAGTTCATGTGCCAGGGGTGGTAGGGTCTCTTGTGTTGAGAGGAAAGTTCTAATGATTACACTGACATCTATTAACACAAATAAACATACGGATCTCTAAACATTATCTCTTGAACTACGAGATATTTGATCACATAGATACTAGTGCCATCTTTTTATTAATTGAAAGTATTAATAAAATAATTTAGAACAATTCTTGCTAATTCATTCTTTTAATAAAAACAAACTGAAGTTGCTATCTTGGCCAATTATTATTAGATTATTAATGTGTATTTAAATAGAATAGTACAAAACATATGATATCCAGTTATGGTGGTTCAAAACAATTTTACAGATACAATGAAAATGTTACAGGTCCTGAAATCATTTTCTGATTTTTTAGAAAATGATTAGCTGGGACATTAAACTCATTGGACTAATCTAATGGTTACAATAGCATTTCATGAGTAAGAACACTTCATTCATTGGTAAATGCATTGAGACATAAACTGGCTTGTACCTCTGTGATATTGCTTGGAGTGGAGTCAGGCTCTGATTGACCAGCTGGGGAGAATTCACCGCTCTGTTCTGCTGCTAGCATTTCTTCTACAGGATTACGTTCCCAGTTCGGCTGCAAATACAGTTTACAGTTCACATATTAATGGAATATGCCAATTAGTATCATGGCATAACGAGGCATAAGGCAGGTGAGGCAGATGAGGCTATTGCCTCACCAGTATTGTATAGAAATATATTTATTCAGATATTCTTTAACTAAAACCATGTAAAAGAAGTTCAAAATTAGCGAGATCCTAAATCTGCCCGGTCTAATTTTTATCCTAGCTGCACTAGAGTATTGTAATATACTGGCACTCTAAACTGCAGTGCTTTTTCTATTGACTTATATTTCATACAAAATTTGCTATTGACTAATCAATGCTTTTCCAAATATTTGATATGATATCACATTATAATGTGATAATATGGACTTACAGTTACATTTGGGAAGTTACTGGCTGGGAATATCCTCTTTCTCTCAGGCTTCAGATATTCCTCTGCTTTATATGTCTCTTTGAGTCCATCAAACAGGTTCTCATACTGGCCAGGGTCTGCCAGCGACTGGGCTGCCTTCACGTTAACTTTTGCCAGGTCTTTCTTCCATAGTTCAACAATCCTGAAACAAGAGTAGTTTAAATGAAATTAGATTGGAAGGATACTTCAGAGTAGCAGTGGTTTTACATTGACTAGAACTAGTGAAGTCTCTAGAATCATTTTATTAGAAAGGCATGCATACTATGATAGTACACTTATTGCAATTCAGGTTTAAATGAAAACTTACCCAGATACTCTACTTGGCATGTAGGTTCTGGCAAAGAATGCGGCTTCAGGTAATCTCCCTGTGCTGATCAACACTTCTAAACACCTTTCAATTCTGAAATATAGACATGGGATATAATAAATCCATACCTCTCAATCCTGAAATATAAACATGGGATATGATATAAATCCATACCTCTAAATCCTGAAATATAAACATGGGATTTGATTTAAATCCATACCTCTCAATCCTGAAATATAAACATGGGATATGGTATGAGAGGTTTTCAACTGCATCATGAGATATCAAAGCTCTATTGGTCTGCAACTCAATGTGATAAAAACAATCAAATTCATAAGAACAGCATTTTAGTTCTATTATTTGGATACAGCTCTCATCGAGCTTTGCTATTTCAATACAATTGAATGTTATCACTAAGTCGGTTTAAGAGTGTGAAAATATCTAATGATTTGTTGTCAACACTTACTGTCCAAGAGAAAAGTATGACAAGAATGCTACATTATTTTGACCAGTTTTCTCTGCAGTTTCGCCCAACTTTGCAACCATTCGTCCATTCCCTGCAGAACTGGCCAACAGAAGGAGACCGCCAAAGTCCTGTGCCTGATGGAGACATTCCTGAGCCAGTCCCATTTCACACTTGGATGTCGCTAACTCTGCCAGTTGTTTCCACTTCTGTTCAGACTGGAGTGAGAGAAAATGATTCAGGTTAACACAGTCCAATTCATCAGCAAAACAGCATAGAAAACTATCCATGGAATTCCATTTGTACTTCATAGTTAAAAGCCTGAATAAGGACATGATATAAATGTAGCCTATTTCTTACCTCTGCTTCCTTGGCAAGTGTATATGCAATCTTGAGATCCCCAAGGTGTAGAGCCAGCTCAAACTTATGCTCAGGATCACAAGTTACAGCCAGTGCTTGAGATTTGAATCCCTACAACACGAGGTAAAATGAATGAAAGCTCAGAAATTACCTTTACAAATAACAATTTCTAAATAGAGCCCATTCAAAAACAAGGAATTTATAAAATAAAATAAAAACATAATACTTGGAAAAATGTAGCTGTCCGACTCAGAGTCTCGAGATCAAACAAAAAATTTGCCCACTTTTATTTTCACAATACTCACTTGTTTTTCTAAAAAGTGTGCAACTCTAGTGCGTTGTTCTCTTGGAATAGTTGGCAATACTTTGTCAGCGGTTTCAAAGTCTTGCCTCATCACGGCAGTCTGGTATTCTAGCACAGACAACAACAATGAGTAGCTGACAACGTTGAGTTCCTTGTCACCCAGGTAGAGTCTGTTGTCCTTGGGAATGTAGCCTAACAGGTACATCACTCTGCAACACAGAAGGCAAATGGTAACATATGAAGTACATGTGATAGAGCAAATAAATACAAATGGCTAATGTATGAGACACTACCTGATATGATGTTTGAGACATTATCCTACATAGTGCTTGAGAAACCCACCTATATGGTGTTTGAGACACCAACCTATATGGTGAATGATACATTGTATATGTACAACCCTATATGGTGAATGATACATTGTATATGTACAACCCTATATGGTGAACCAGAACAACGGCAACGCCAAAGCGTAGCGAATCCCATCGAACAGAAATGGCTGGCTGGCAAACGAAATATATAGCAAATATCATAAAATAACACACATAAGGCCACCATTTTCAAAATGGTTGCTCACTAGCCAAGTTGTCATCAGAAGTAACATGCTTTTTTTCTAGCATTCACAACCAAATATGAACAAAATCGCTCCACTACTTTTCGAGTTATAGTAAAATACTTTAAAATGGTGGCCATTTTTCAAAATGGCCGCCTTCTACCAAAAGTGTCATTAGACAGTGTGCCATGCTTATAGTATTCACATACCAAATATGAACAAAATTGCTCCACTACTTTTCAAGTTACAGCAAAAATTGTAAAATAACGAGTAAAGGCCGCCATTTTTCAAGATGGCTGCCATGTGCTTCTTTAATATCTACATTTCTAGCTTTATCAATGTCCTATATAATTTTTTTACATTTAAAACATATTGCTACTACAGTTTTACATATTGCACCTAAATTACAGTAAAATCGGCACTAAAATGGCCGCCATTTTTGAATGAGCGGCCATTTTGAAAATCGGCTTTCGAGCAGAACTTCTACCCCCATAGGGTATATGTGAAACAAAATATGAACAAAATCGGGCTAACGGTATTTGAGTTATTGCCTGGACGGACGGACGGACAGACAGACAGACAGACGGACGGACGGACGGACGGACGGACAGACGTACGTACGGACGGACGGAGGCGTTCCCTATATCCCTCCGAACTTCGTTCGATGGGATAATGATACATTGTATATGTACAACCCTATATGGTGAATGATACATTGTATATGTACAACCCTATATGGTGAATGATACATTGTATATGTACAACCCTATATGGTGAATGATACATTGTATATGTACAACCCTATATGTATACCCTATATGGCGCATGAGGCACTACCCTAAATGGTGTTTGAGACACCAACCTAATAAGTGTATGAGACACCAACCTGTCTAAGTGAGCAACTGTGACAATCTCTCCTCCAACATAGTAGTTGAGTCTGTTTACAGCGTTGGTGTAGATGAAGCAATCTCCCACCCACACTCCTGTCTTTACAACTTCTTCAATCTCCCCGATAACCTGAACACGAGAAGCTGCATTAGTTCTATGATAAATACAGCTGTTTAACATAAAGGGATTGTTCAGATGAATCAGATACTGTATGTCGCTTCATGGCTTGACTTGTAAAGTGTCATAAAATCTTAGAACAACAATGAGGTTTCAAAACTAGCTAAGCCTTTATCATATTATATATCTTTGTTTTAAAACACTTTTCATTTAACTACATATATATCTAGACAGTAAATTCTGGTATATGCCAGGTGATTTATTTATATTTCACTAACAAAGGTCTTACATCAAATGCATCTTCAATTCCATCTTCAGTGATAGCCTCTGGATTATCTTTGGCAGCTTCTACAGCTTCTGCTTTGTATTTCAGTATGAAGAATGACTCGTCTGTTGCAATACATAATAACTCACCACTATCACTCCAGTAGACCTAAAAAACATTGATATAAAGGAGGCTTAAACGCAACTTGAAGGTTTCAGCATGAGGGGGTAAATGACAAACAACATTAAACTGCAACGCATTACACACTCTATAATGAGTACAATATAATTTCATGAAAATGAGACTCACATTTAATAACTACATGCAATTTTTCATGATATTCTACCAATCATACATTAAATAGGATGAAAGCTTACTTGTTTTGACGTGATTTCAATTCTGCGTACAAGATCTGTAGACTCCCAGTCATAGAAAGCTAAACCACTAACTGAACGAACTCCCAACATGAAACCTCCATGAAGACCTATAGACAGGAAATGTATACCTCATATAACAATTTCACTCATTAAATCATATATAATCACAAATTGCAATATTTTATTATATCGTTCAGAAACACAATTTTCTGTATTATTCAGGTATAAGACAAAGGAATCTGAAATATACTCCTCAAAAAAAGTTAAGGACCTCATAGGTTTACATGTTAACCCCCATATTTGTTTAACGACTGTTTTCTAAGCGGAGAACAAAAGAAATCCCAATAAAGAAAATAAATCTGTATCTTGATTCTATTAACTATAAAGTCCGCAACGTTTCAATGTTATATCTCCATTACATTGGGTCAAAATTTGATGTCAAAATTGATGAATTTCATGAAATTTAACAAAAATGGCAGATCCCATGTTAAACAAATGGGGAATGGTTGGGTTGCCATAAGTCATATGAGGAACGATCCATCCATCCGATTGCTCTCAAAGTTGAGATTGTAAGAGATAATTAAATTTGCTAAATTGTCTACTCGACAAAAATATGATTTAATTGTCCAGGCTTTACAAAAGTTAATGGTTTCAAATTCAATAACTTTTTAATGAACCTCTTATTGAAATAACACAGGTGGTTCAGTGAGGTGGTCAAAATTACTTTAACGCTCCGTATCGCTAATTTTAACAACATAAGCGAGACATTTAGCATGTAAAATGTAAAATCATTCAATTTTCTACTTGGAAAGTATTTTTAATAAATGTTTTGCTGAATAGATATTCCAAAATCTGAGTTGCCCCTAAGCCACCATTCCCCATTTGTTTAACATGGGATCTGCCATTTTTGTTACATTTCATGAAATTCATCAATTTTGACATCAAATTTTGACAGAATATAGCGAATATAATCAAGATACAGATTTTATTTACTTTATTGGGATTTCTTTTGTTCCCCGCTTAGAAAACAGTCATTAAACAAATATGGGGGTTAACATGTAAACCTATGAGGTCCTTAACTTTTTTTGAGGAGTATATTTGAAGAAATGAGTAACATTCCACAAAACTGTTTTTCCCATCCCTTGTTAATAAAGAGTCAAAACGTCAAGCTTACCTTCAGCACCGAAGTCTGGCTTGAATGATTTTGTCTCCTTGAAGTTTTTGTATATTTTTAATGACGAGCTTCCTTCTCTAGTGGCATAAACTGAGGAATCATTAGACCAGACAAACTCCTGTGCAGAGCCAAAGCTCTTGTTCCTGAGGGCCATAGCTGTATATATGATGTACTCTCCATCTCCACACACAACTACAAACCTATAAACACATTTCAACATAAATATAAAACATGCATAACTTCAAAGGCACACATTCAAGGTCAAACTGAACTTCATTCCAAATGGTTACACTGATTTCACAAAACAGAAACATACAGATAGATCTGATGCTGTGATCAAAATAAGCTTAAGCTTTTTAAATTCTAAGGATCTGAAGCAAAATTAATATGAATGAAAAACAAATGTGAAAATTGAAAAACACGAATTGAGTAACTGAATAGAAATTAAAAAAAATTATGTTCTCCTTAGTAAAGAGCCAAATCTAACAATGTATTGCTTCTTAAAAGTGACTATTCAAGATTTGGACCATACACTTCAATTACACAGTGTAGAGACAGAACAAAACAATGAAATAGTGACAGTAAAATTACTTAATTTTGTCTCGTGGAATCTTGACTGAGATGAAATGAAATCTGCCAATCTCAAATGAATACATACCTTCCATTAGGATTATGTTGTATGGTTTGTGGATATATCTCACAACTTCCCATATCTTTAACAGCCAATGGAAGTCTCTCACCATCCTTTATTTCAGCATCAGCAAGTGCCTTGATGTTTGCTTGTTGCACCTCAGCATGTTTGGCCCAGATTATCTTTCCACTCATGTCCATGGACATAGCAGGCTCTTCACGTCCAAGCTGGAATTCAATATTTCAGTGAGTGCAAGATACAAATAGAAAACTTATCTTTTTGTTTACCAGCCTTATGCAAGTTGTATGGATAAAGGGGACTGACATCTTTAGTTATCAAGCAAATCTTATGAAATAAAACATATTTGAATACAATTTCCAACAAGAGTGAATTAAAAATGTATTGTCATACCTTAATCATAATACTGCCCTCATCATATCCCAGTGCTACATTGTTCGATCCCTTCTTAGATGATATTGCCCAAACTCTCTCCAGCCCATAATTCAATGTGCTCTCTAGCCTGTATGTACTTGAGTGCCAAACACGAACAGTGCCTGAAATATAACATGCCTCTTTTAATTTACATGTACTGGAGTACCACACATGAACAGTGCCTGAAATATAACATGCCTCTTTTAATTTACATGTACTGGAGTGCCACACATGAACAATGCCTGAAATATAACATGCCTCTTTTAATTTACATGTACTGGAGTGCCACACATGAACAGTGCCTGAAATATAACATGCCTCTTTTAATTTACATGTACTGGAGTGCCACACATGAACAGTGCCTGAAATATAACATGCCTCTTAATCTGCTACACCAGGTTCATCCAAGCTTATTGAATTTGTTCTTTTAAATTAAAAGTGCAGGATGCTAAATCATTCTTATCGGGGGCATGGCCAGGATCTAAGGTTAGTTGAGGCAAATTAGATGAGGCATAAAATTAATTGAGGCAATATTATATTCTAGATTCAACATTTTCAGGGATTTCATTGAAAAATAATGATTCTGCAATATTGCTCATGTTTGGCGAGGTCGATTTAATTAAAAGCTTGAACTAAGAGACTGACATACCATCTTCAGATCCTGTCATCAGAATGGGCAATTCTGGGTGGAAGGCAACAGCTGATATATTCTGTGCATGACCTTCTAAAGTTTGGACACAGGTTTTGTTCTGGTAATCCCATATTTTCACAAGTCTGTCATCTGCCCCGGAGATGAGATAAGGCTTATCTCCCCCACTATAGTAATCCACACAGTTGACTCCTTTCTCATGACCCTCCAGAGTAAAGTTTGGGGTTGGGGAGCCTAACTGCCAGACCTGAACAATAAACAATCAAAATTGAATCTGAATTCAATGAAAGAGGAGCCTCTTGAAAAGCTTAAACAGTTCATCAAAGCATTATCATCAACAAGCATTTTACATAAAACAATTGTTTGGTCAAGTTATCAATAAGACAATTTAACTATCTCAAAATGAGAAAATTGGACTCTAAATCCTTTTTGAAATCATTCTGTGTTACCTAACCCATATTTAAATAATATACTATATCACAGGTTCATGCTGCTTATGTGATGCACATGAGACAATGTAATATTGAATGACCTAATAGTGGATAAATCATTTACCTTCACTGTTCTATCAAGGGAAGCACTGGCAAATGTGTTATTGTCCTTTGGGTTGATGACTATTTGCATAACATAGTGGGTGTGTCCCTCAAATACCTGGGTACAAGTCCACTTCTTGTCCCAGTCCCAAAGTTTGATTAACATGTCATCTGAAATATAAAGCATGGTGTCTCATACAACATATATAGGTTGGTGTCTCGGAAATTAATACAATCACATTTTACTACATCTTTGAAAACGAATACCTTGATATTTATCCCTTGCTGTTAACAATAGCAATTTTGTTCCATAGTGATAAATTTGTTTGCATTTGAAACAATACTGTAAAATACTCCAAGGATATAATGGAGATAAGCTTACCACTGCTTGTGATGATAAAAGGCTGTGTGGGATGAACACATATACATCTGAGATAATCTGAATGAGCCTCAAACTGGTGTACTCTCTCCAATGTATTATAGTTGTAGACTCGTACATGCATGTCATCTGATCCAGTCACAACCCAATTCTTGCGAGCCACAAACCTGGCCGCTCTCACAGGCAGATCACATACTTCAAATGATTTTATTATTTGCTGAAGGAATAAAATATAGGAATTGGTACTTTAATATATCTTTAAAAACACATGCAATGTTATAAAGATCTTGTTGACATCTAACTCTTGGAAGATCTAAAACCACCCAAAAACTAATGAGATTTACACTGAAATTTGAAATCAATCCCTCTTCCAGTTTTTCTTGAAACACTTAATAATAGGAATTTTTATGATATGACCAGTAATATTTTTGTTAGTTGCCTTTTACCTGTGATTCATGGTTCCATATATGGACATTTCCATTATAAAGAGATGCCAGCATCCATGGTTCTGAAGGGTGAAGATCGACTGCTTTTACACGATCTGATCTCGCTGATAACTTACGTTTTATATCAAGGCGAAGCGGCTGAAAATATCAAAAAGACACATGACAATGCACTTTATAACCTACAGTGGTGCTACAGAAAATTAAATTCTGGTCAAATTTTCCATCTTCTATTTGTATATTGAAGTGACCTTACATTCTGGGGAGACCAGTTGCTTGGAATCCTCAGAAAAGTTATCTATATTAAAAATTAAAGTATAATCTGATAACAATATAGTCCAAGGCAGTGAAATGTAAGTCTCAATCAAACCTCGAAAATCAAAGAACTGTTTACAATATCATGTCTATTGAAAGCCCATGATTTCAGTTAAGGCCAGGGTGCATGTTGGAATTTTTTTGCAAATTTGAAAAGTAAACCACTGAACATTCTAGTTATACAAACATTCTGAAGAATTATCAACCATCAATTAATAGTCTAGGTACACCAATTCATCTTTTGTGCAAGAATGAAAGATGTAGATGACGTGTGGAATGAGTTGTGTTTATCTGAAAATAGCACATGGCCATGAAATTTCATCAAAGTGCACCCTGAACTAAAATAAATTTATTTGCAGTAAAATATTCGCACCTCAGAAAAGCATCAAAATACAAGATTCTACACATTTTAAAGGCCACACCTAGGATGAATCCTAGGCCAAACCAAAACTAATTCAAGATATGCAAATGTATCTCATCTAAAATATGATTTTGTTTTTTTTCATTTAATATTTTCTTTTATATTCAGCAGCAGATGTCCGAAAACCATTTTCTAATAAATTAATATCTTTCTTTGAAAACATGGTTGAGTGACACATCACAAGTCACGTGATATCATCTAGTAACTAGACACGTAATCAGACATGTGACTGGCAAAATGGACGATCTAAATTTCAAAGAATTTGGCTAAGATCAATATCGATATGTTGTTGCCTTCATTGTCGTGTTTTGGCCGAGTTCCACAATTCACATAGTCCGATGGATAACATAGAACATACTGGTAAGTAGATTACGTGGTTACATCACATCATTTCGCTATTTTGTCCATATGAAATGGTTCCCAGAATAAATAAAAATATACATCTGCCATTTTAGTACTCATATTCAATTCAGTGAATCAATCAGTGAGCAGTTATATATAGAGGATTATCGGAACATTGGAATCAAAAAGTTACTCTTTATACAATATGCTTCATACTGTTTCAATATAAGAGTCTTCTTCCAGGATAAAAAAACATTTTCAATTTGTTTCAAAATTTTTTCTCATTTTTCATTCCGGAAGTGGATATTCAATCTATGTTATCTACCGCTTTCTACACACGATATGCGTTTTCATGGATTGATCATTTAGATATGTATTACAATATTAACATTACATCGAAATTAAGAACAAAATCTAGTGAAATGACAAGTCTTACCATGTTTATCTTCTAAAATTTTGTGTCTTGTTGGATGAAGAGACGTGGCCGGGTATATTGCGCATGCGCGAACTTTATAGTTTGGTATGCTGTAAGACTACTTGATTTCAAATAAATATATTTCGATAATGTTCATCATACATTTAATTATTTTTTTCAGATCCTACTTATATTTTGAATGTCACATTGTTTTTGTTGTAGATAAATATATATTACTTTTTACTTGAACCAATGCTCATTATGAAATTTATTCAAAGAATATTTTGATTTAGCGTTCGTTTCGAAGATAATAAGATTTCATCCTGGCCCTATATTAAATCAATTTCTGATACCCTAATTAAACATGGCCTAGATAGTTGTTTAAAGTCAACTGATCAAATTTGGTATAAGTCCTTCCTAGAAATCTCTAATGAAATGAAGAATACAGATTTTTTCGGAGCTATAGATAAGAGAACATCACTGAAAACTTACACTGTTCTTAAGAAACATACATTTAAAGAGAACTACCTCCTAGATGACATCGATTTCTATTGCTCCAGGTTAAAATTCATGGCAAGAACTGGGTGCTTTAACTTGGAGGAGGATAATAAACGATGGAAGAAAAGTGATGGAATTTGCCCTCATTGTAAAAGTAATGACATTGAAGATTTAATTCACCGATTCATTGTATGCCCTAAGTTCATTAATGAAAGGTTACAATTTATAAATGATATAACTTCAAAATGTGACGCTCTTTTAGTAGCTGAATTCATCTCTCTCTCTCCTGAGGAGAAGCTAAAATACATGTTAGGGGATGATGTCTTTGAAATTTGGGGGAAAGAACAAGGTAGAATGTTTGACAAGTGTTTTAAAAGGTTTTTAAAATCAGTTTATATTAAATACTCAAAATGAATGTTTTTAGTAAGTTGTAATAATTGTTTTATCTTAATATGTACATTCGACGCACCTTTGCATTGCAGAGCGTGCCACTGTTTCAAAAGTGTAGATCGAAATAAATAAATAAATAAATAAATATCCACCACTCAACTTTTCAAATTTTTGGTGGGGAATCCGTTTTGAATTTATTTTAGTTTCTTCACATTTATATGCATAAGAAGAGTTATATGCAATCTAGCACGTTGAAAATCTACTAGGTACACCATGTGAGCATTTAATGAATAAAGGTAAGCTCTTACTCAAACTAGCCTGTAAGTCTAAATGTGTTGCTCAAAAAATAAGCTCTGAGTCTGATTGTCCATCAGGCATTATTGTTAGGCCAGAGTGCACTTTGGATTTTTTGCAATTTTGAAAAGTAAACCATGTTCTAGGTATTCAAACATTCTGAAGAATTATCAACCCTCAATTAATAGTCTTCAGTTTGGAACAAAAATAATGACACATGGATTGTTGAAGTGAGGATTTCCCATGTTAAAAATAAGAGAATTTTCGAGAGGTCTTACATCAGTGGATGAGAGTATATAAAATGTAAAATAAACAAATTTGAGGGATTTGAATCTAGACAATATTTGAGACGATAGGGCTTTCAAAACACCATGATTTGGATATGTGGGTTGCAGGTTGCATAATAAAACTGTTAGTATAAATGATTTTAGACTTTATGAAAATATAACAAGTGAGAAGCACAAGTGTAAGCATGGGTGGAAAACAAGCACCACAAGACCATTTAGTGGCACTATAATGCATAGAAGGATGCAAACAAACAAACAAACAAACAAACAAACAAACAAACAAAAAGAGCTTTACATTGAATAAGTTCATAGTCTGGTAATATTAATCCATTTATTTGTGTTCATTGTCACAGACTTTATTACAATTTTTTGTTTTAGACCTTTCGTACTGCATCCATGATCACTAAATTTAAATTGAAAACAGTTAAAATGAATACGGTAATGTAAATCTACTATTACGTCATTAAACCTTAACAACGTCAATAAATAATTAATTGCTATGGCAATATAACTTCATCCTACAAGCGATCTAGATTGAAGTTGCCCAATTGTCTCTATTGAAGTTTTTATGTTTTCAAATGTGAATGGCTTCTCTTATCAATCTAATGTTTCTGTTCCTCTCTGTGCTAACTATTTTATAATTGTTCCATAGCAATTAATTATTTTTTGTCATTGTTAAGGTTTAATGACGTAATAGTAGATTTACCTGTATTCATTTCAACTGTTTTCAATTTAGATTTAGTGATCATGGATGCAGTTTGCATTCAAAACGTATAAAACAAAAAATTGTAATTGAACTGCACAAAGTTATCCTTACTTTACTCTGAATTGTGGCTTATTTCAAAGTTCCAAAATGGCGACCGAACCAAACTTTAACTTATGAACGTTGTTATATTAATGATACTTAATTTTTGTGAAACATGAATCAAATATTAGTGGTGATAAAGGATGTGAAACATGAAAGTATTTCTGATTAGTAACTTGCTACATGAAAATGTATTGTGTATTGATTATGTGACAAAACCCCCTTTCCTTGGGCTAGAATAAGTTACTAACTTTTATTCAGAGTACATTGTATTTTTAATCTTAAATTCCAGTCATAATAGGCAGTTGTAACCTCATCGGAAATTAGCTCATAGGAAGAAGAATGGGAGTATCTGGCCTCGTACCTGCTAGGTTTCTTACCCTCACAGCACATCTGATTCTTGTCATTGTCATTCTGTGGTCTAGGGTAAGTAAAAGTAATTAAACTTAACAAGTAAAGTGTAACACCTCTGTAAGTGGAACATCTCCCTAGTGTAACACTTCAAATCCTGTTCCCAATAACTTAACATAAAATGAACCTGTGTAAGTGAAACACTTCTCTTGAAAACCCATCACATGGTGTAACACTTTTCGAAGTCCCATTTCTCATAACTTGATGTACTTATTGAACCTCTGAACATGGAACACCATTGACATTGAACACTATTTTGTGGTACCAAAGGCATCCCACTTATAGCAGGTTTTACTGTATTACAATAACATGGCCTCAATTTTTTTGATAAACATCATATATTAGTTGATTAGTGAATGCATTTATAACTAGTGATATGCCACACTATGTCTTCTTGTGTTTTTTCAGGAGGAGAATGTGAAGTCGTGTCTTCCACTCACCTACACACAGGATGAATACACATTTAAAGATAATCAGTGAGTTAGCCATCTTCTCAAATTTCCAACCTTAATTTATGTTCTGCTTACTGAGTGGTTCGAAGTACATGCTCTGTTTGTAATAATTGTTAAAAGAATTTTCTTATTAAAATAGTTTGATGGAAAATATAATTGACATTAATCACAATAGAAAAAATATAAGAAAAACTCACCCATTTTCTAAAGTTTTATAAAAAGTCATGGAGGCCAGGTGGAAAGAATCAAAACAAGATAAGATTTAATACTGTTTTCTGTCAGTCAAACTTTCTCTTATACCCTTATGCCTCATGAATGTGAACCACTATTTAATAAACTAAGTTATCACAAGTAAAGAAATAAATGAAAAGTATTAAAAATAAGACTTGTTTTATCTTCATTGTGCTTTTGCAGGTTGATAATTGGTCTGTCTGTAGCATTAGGACTGTTTGTATTGGAGCTGGTTGGCTTCTTTGGAGGATTCTCCACATTTATGCCCTCACAAGCCATGATCTGTATCCTTAACAAAACACTTACTACATAATCTTAGAGGGGGAATAGTACTACATCATATGTAAATTAACATCCTTGATATATATCAAAATAACTCCATGCAAAATGAATACTAACTTTTTCAACACTGAATCAGCACTTACAATCCCTTATAAAAAATTCAACCTTGAAAGTCCGAATTTAAACCATTGCACAATCATTGCACAATCATTGATCTGATCATTTATGCAACCATGCCAACCGTTACGATGCAACCATTACAATTTTGGTTGTAAACTCATTGAAAATGTTTCAATCATATATAACCATTGTAAACGCTTGACAATTTTGATTGCATTTCTTGCAACCGTTTCAATCAAATGCAACCCTTTAAAACTATGGCAATATTATCTCAGTATTACATACCCAGTGAAGCATTTGTATTGAAGTCAATGGAGCTGAAGGTCGGCTATATATTCCTGTATAGCCGCCAAACCTTTTACCATGACAATCTTATGACGTCATCGGGACGTCATGTTTCATTTCTTCCTAATTTCACTCGCACACAGACACGTGGTGTCATTGATATAACGTAGCCATGATATAAAAGTATGTAATACAACAGTTATGTCCGTATCATTGAATATATGCCTTCGGTCTGTCGTAATATAACCCTCGCAAGCTCGGGCTATATTGGTGACAGACCTTAGGCATATATTCAATGATAGGGACATAACTGCTAAATACAACATGAAATAATTATATTGCTCTTTAAAATATATATTTCACATGTATGTATTTCATGCATACTACATGTCAGAATTTGAATGGTTTTATCAAACAGATATTTAAAGTATTGAAATAGTTTAGTAAACTTGTCTTGTGAATGAAAATATATTGAACCAATTTCCATCTAACCTTGAAGGATGGTGATTGTCTCACTCACATGTATAGTATCTAGATTACAGCAATGCTTACAGGCCCGTAGCCAGAATTTTCCAAGAGGGGGGTTCACTTTTCCAAAAAATTCTAGGGGGGGGTTCACTATGGCAAAATAGTCAGAATGGTGAAAAACTGCATGATTTTGAAAGAAATTTTGGTCAGGGTGGGGGTTTGCACAATTGGCAAGGCAAAACAAACCTTATTACAGAGAGACTCTCAAATTGATTAGAGTCTGCTATAAAGGAAGCATCCTATGTAATTAAATTATTCCATACACAGAACTTGATAAATAATTTGCCAAAGAACAATAACTTAATCCATAAACAAAAAACGAAAATCTCCTTTATTTTTTGAAATTGAAAATATAAATAAATATATAGTATAACACAAGCTGAAAATAAATATAACAGAAACTAGGACTATGAACCCTATTTCTGGTCAAGCATTTTAATTAGCCATTCAACCGTTTTAATTAGCTGTTCAAGCGTTTTAATTAGCTGTTTAACCGTTTTAATTGACTGTTCAAGCATTTTGATTTGCCTAAACCTATGAGAATATTAATGTGTAGTAGGTATTGTTGTGTTGAGCATTATTATAAAAATATTTGCCAAGAAAGAACATGGTAATTAAATCTCACACATAATATAGTCAATATCAAAATAGTTCTCTTGTTCATACTCTTGATATTAGGTGTTAACTTAACATATATGGATACATTTGAAAACCCAAAATGGCTTAGAATTTTTGCTGGGAGGGGGGTTGCTGGCTACTGGCCTGTTCATTGTACATAAACTTTTGCGGGGGTCCTAAGCTAAACCCTTCGATATCAATATGTTCCCATACCAATCATACCAGGTAAAATGATAATTTTTTGGAACGATACTAATTCAGGATGATTGCAGGGGTTGAACTATGTAAACATTGAACAAAACATATTGCAACCATTTACATTTCAACGTGAAATGGTTGCAGTTTACAATGGTTGCAGATTACAATGATTGTATAGAAACGGTTGCACAGTCATTGAAAAAGAGTTGACTTCACTTGGTTGAACCCAATGGTTGCACAATGATTGCTTATCATTGTACAATGGTTTTTCCTTTGATCTAAATAGTTGAAACAATCAGTATTCAATGATTGATAGAAACGGTTTAAATTCGGACTTTCAAGGTTGAATTTTTTATAAGGGATTGATTGCAGATTGGGTGTTTGTTTTTATTTTAATAAAACTATATTTCATGAATAAACATATATACAATAACACATACCGTATTCTCTGTAATTAGCGCCCAGGGCGTTTAGAAAATTGAAAATACATTATTCAGACCATTCTAATAAGCGCCCATGTATGAAAGAAATCAGAAATCCCGAGGAATTTCATGTATGGCAATTTTTCTTGACAAGAATGCATTTTCTTCAACATATTTTTATAATAATATGACAAGTGCTGTTATTGGAGAGAATACGGTAAAGATCGCTTAGACAATATTGACTGTGGTTGAAGACCCGTCTATGTCTAATTTATTTCCGGCACGCCCACTTTGTCATTATCGCCGATTACCTTCAATATTTCCACTAGAGACTGCTGGATATCGATCTAAAGTTATACATTATTTCTAATTTGATGAGAGATCATCATTATTCGTGCAAAAGTCGTGTAAAAGTCGAGAAACATTAAAAAGAAACCAGAAAGTTCACGACCTTGACATGCGCAGAACATCTGCGCAGTAGCTTTTGAAATTTCTGAATGCCGATAAAGAACAATTCCTTCATTCATTATGGACTATTTGGAGACAATATTAGCATGGTATGGTGTGGGAAGCACCCATCGATAGATATGTATCGAGAGGATGCATAGAATTACAAAACGCGTCGTGTTTACAGCAGTTTTAGGGTAAGTACTCTATTATCGCCCGCTCCTGGATTTTGAGAAATATTTTTTTCCTGATATATTCTTCAATTCTTGTTGATTCCTCGATGTTTCTTGAACTTTGTGAAGCGGGGTGGGCGCTTATTAGAGAGTGGGCGGTAATTACAGAGAATACGGTAGTTACATTGTTTAACATCTGTACAGTTTTTCATTTACAAAATATGCACTTATTTACCAGTTTTGTCTTGATTAATTTGTATTGCCCTACTGGCTATTAAAACTTCTTTATATCTTTTATATCTATCTATTGGGTGTGTATGTTACTAGTTACTGCTAAGCTACAAGTACTTTTGAGGTCTCTACACTTTACACAGGCTTAGTATAATAATTAATTAATTCCTTAACTCAATATCCAGCAACTGCAGCTCATGCCAGTGGTGCCGTTGCGATGTCCTTCTTCATCTTTGATCTGTGGGAATGTGACACGTATTGGTGGATATTTGGCTTCTGCTCAGCATTCCCAGCCCTTACAGAGATCATCGTACTTCTAGGGGTGCTTGTCTTTCATAAAGGACTCTGATCTCAGGAACAGTTGAGTAAATCAGCAATATTTAATTGCATGTGATTCCATCCATAGTTAACACTGCATGTATAGTGTCAAGATTATACATGTATAGTGTCAAGACACTGCATGTATAGTGTCAAGACGATGCATGCATAGTGTCATGAAATCCATCCATATTTATAAACAATGTCCTTTAAAAGGGCTAATAGCTTAATTACTCTAAATATTTTTTTAGTTCATAATGATTTGTAATTTACACAATCAAAAGACATTAACTTTCTTTTTTTAGTAATTGCAGCTTGAAAAAATATTCATGGAGAAAGTGAAACATCAATTTTAAATTGAAATTCAGCTTTTTAAAACCAAAATATGTGTGAGTTGTTTTTTCAATTTGAACTCGTCTTCTCAAGCTTAGATATTTTCTGCAAAGAGGGTTTTGGTAAAAACTGTAACATTATAAATCCAAAACTATTTTAGGGTAATTAAGAATGAGGCTTACTGCTATTAGCCCTTTAAGTAGACAAACAGAACGCAAAGCAGCATATTAAAATGGACCTTTTACCATTGTCATGTACACTTTCCTACTTTTTGTCTCCCAACCTGCTATGTTGAAAGGGACATGTGGGATGATAACCTGAATGGAGTCAATGCTCAGTGATCTGTTATTGAAATATGATAATAATGCAATAATAGCAATATATGGACTGCACCAGCTGTAGTAAGAGTCGATGGATATAGCAGTGCTGTAAACCTGTGTATAAATTAACACCATTGACTATAGACAATGCAGCAATGTAACAGTCCATACATACACACAAAGGAAGACACTTCGGAAGATTTGGAAAATGTATTATATTTGTACATAAAGTAATTTTATACTAACTTAACAATTTTATGTTGAATTTTCATAAAAGCTTGAACAAGTACCACGAAATCATTCCCATCAATTCCGTGTATATTTATTGTCAATACCTACAACTAAATCCATTAAAGAATGACAAAGACTTCCAACTCAACTCATGCTTGTTGTGAATCTGACATTGGATTCAAATCATGTTATTCTCAATCATTGAATAGATGTCTCCTTAATCACTCGACTCCTATCATCTATGGCATTGATGAGGTGTTTTATAGATGTCACCATTGAACTTGTTATTCTCACCTAAGCCAGTTTCTATATTCATATTTCCAAACTTAGCTTTAAATAAATCATCTTGTCTATGGAGGAATTATATCAAAGTAGAAGCAAAAATTAGCTTGTCTAGTGTAATACATGATGCAGCCTGAAGTATTTTCATCCTCCTGGCTGTGAACTGATGAGTGCTATAATGTACACTTCCCTTAGTAAGTTTGGAATCAGAAGTCTTCAATGGATAGCATATCAAAGACAATATTTCAATCTAATTTTGTTTCTTATTTTTTAATTGGTATACATGTAGTTTGGAATTTTTTTTACAAATCATGAGTTTTCTTAATTGCCAACATGCTTTTATAAGTGATTCAAAAGAGTACTTTAAATTGCCAAACTTTTGAAGGGGAGTGTATAACCCAGTGTAGTGTGTTTACGACTGAATGTTCAAAGGCTTTTATAAGTGATCCAAAAGAAGACTTCAAGTTAACAAACTTTTGAAGGGGAGTGTACAATCCAGTGTAGTGTGTTTATGACTGAATTAGGCTAGGCAAATGGAAGTTTAACATCCCCAAAATTGCAACAGTTTTTAAATTAGGTTTATATTGTGTATTGATACCAGTTGAAAAACATATCAAAAATGTAGAAAAATATATGCAGTGGACAAATATGAAATGTCACATTCTAGGTACCCCCCTCCAAATTTGAGTATGGGATTGTAAATATTTTTTATTTCAAAATGGGATGCTCTTTCAACTAAACGAGTAATATTATGATAGTTTACTGACATAAGAGCAACTAAAAATTGTTAACCAACTATTTGAGTGCAATAATTGGCATTTCTAGCCCCAAATATCTGAAAATAGGCCATCAAATAGCCCGAATTTAATGTAACAATGTATTTATTTCTGTATCTATTCATCATAATTGCATGAAAAAAATCGAGGAGGTTATTATACACCTGACCATTGTATTTGATAAGTATCAGGGTCATTAAGGGTATATTGAGGGTGAAAATAATATTTGAAATTTCAATATTTTACCACACACACTTTTGGGGTGACCTTACTTTTGTTTAATTACTTCCAAGATATGTCATATTTGAACTCAATAGCACAACTAAATTATTTGTAAAGGCTTATTTTGTCCTGAAAACAGTTTTTTGATGTTTTCAGGAAAGGATTATGTAAAAAAATGTAGAAAAAACAGCAAATGGCAGGTGAAATATAGGGGAAGCCCTACTTTTAGTTTATAACTGCTAAATTATCAAATGTTTTTTTCCTTTTAAATTCAATTTGATATATAATATACCTTTTCTGGTAAAAGAGAGAACGATTTGTTAGAAATTAAGTACAATCGGTGGTCTAAAAATATCCTTGAAAAGGCAACAAAATGTTAAATATCCCTGTCCCTGACATCAGTTTATTAATATGAGCCAATAAAGGTAACCCAACCAAATGTTTGTTAATAACCCAGTCATTCAGCATGGGTGTGACATCATATTTGGCACAATTACCTTGTTCAATGTTCTTTCATTCTCTTAAGTGTCATTGATCTATCCTTAATAGTCACAATTTTATAGCCATTTACAAAATGTGCTCAAAATATCGAAACGTGCCTAACTGACTGGACATTAATACCACCATTTTTTATTATCTGTGGACCTTTTTTTTATACTAACAACACTTGAAACATTAAAACAAGAGATAAGAATGAAGATGAGAGCCATGACACAAGATTTTTATGCTCCTGATTTGAACAACTACGTACGATACGTTCAAGTTGGCCTCCAGGCATGACACATATTTCATGGCATGGTATAAAATGGCCATAAAAATCGTGACCAATAGAGATAGACCACTGAGACTTGGTAGATAGATAATACATTGACCAAGGCTCAATTCTGCCAAATATGACACTAAATCCATGCAGGATGACTGGACTGGGTTATTAAGATTTGTTTGGGTTACGTTTTTGGCTCGCCCTGTATTAAGGAAAAAGTGTTACTTTTGACTAAGGTGTTCTTAACCACACAGTGATATTGAAAAATGAAATGAAGAAGTTCAACTGAAGAATGTTGGATTTCAAGATGAAATTTAATAAAAAATGAGGAAAAGGTTTCTACGTTAATAAATACTACTGAGTTAACTAGTGTAAATCCCTGGTCTTTAAACAGGGCATGGCTCGATTATGTTATGTTCATTATCAAAAATGCTGCCTTAATTTTGTAATCTTAACCTTCATATATGTGTCTTACTTATAGAGAGCAAAAAATAATGCTGATTAAATAAGCTAATATTATGTTGTAACAACAATCAGTTACAACCTTGTCTATCACCAGTCTTCATCAGGGGTGGATCTGGGAACCAACAAAGGGGGGGGGGCAAATTTCAGGTCTGAGAAAATGCGCGAAAAAAATTTGGGCCCCTAAACCCCTAAAGTGGGCCAAAATTTTGAAATTGAGGCCCATTTTCTTCAAAATTTGGCCTGAAATTAAAAAATAAGGCCTTAAAAGGCCCTCTTATGACCAATTTTTATTCTGGGCCCACCTAAGGGGGCCCGGGCCCCCAGCCCCCCCCCCCCCCAGATCCGCCAGTGTTCATTATTTAGTCATCATTATTTTCATGATCAGTTATGGAGGTATTTGCACAAATGCCTTTGCATACCTACTTCATAGAAGTACAATATGCCTTACACAAACAATGGATGATCTCTGAGAGAGGGGAGCTGCATTTAGGCAATGGGAACAAACGTTTCGTTGCTTATTTCCCAGCAGTTTATTTCCCTCCCACTCCTGGATCTGATGGTACACTTTATAATTGTTGTTTTCTGCAGCATCAGAAGTTGGAGGAAGAACACAGGGCTGCAATAATTCAGATCTTGCTGCTCTCTTTTAATATAATTTTTGAAGCCTAAGTTTATTCAGGGTTTCACCATTTTTCCACCATAAATTGACAAAAGAGCATGTTCCTCTGCAATGACAGAGTTACTTGCATTTCACTGGTTTTCCACTTGATTACGTTGTAACAAAATGTCGGAACATCGAAGATATGATTTTTCTTTTTTCCTTATTCCACATGTTGTAGGCAGAATTATCACAAACATGTATCAGTATTATATGTTCAAAAAAATGTACATATTTGCGAACAAATAGTTCAGAAGACAACAGAATCGTCGATTTACTTCTTCACTTAAGTTACATAAACTGCCACCGTTTATGCAACTTAAGTAAGGAATTAAATCAACAATTCTGTAGTCTTCTGAGCTATTTTTGCGCAAACATGTACATTTTCTAAAACATATGATACTGATACACGATTGTGAGAAAAAAACATCATGGGGATTCTGCCTACAACGCGTGAAAAAAAGGAAAAAAGAAATATCGTGCCTTCGACATTTAGACATTTTGTTACCAAAACGACCCGTTTCGGTAACAAGCGTAATTGATCGGGTCACCAGTGCTTTGATAATTTAAAAACAACCACTTGTTTTCTCAAGAACTCACTCTTTTCTATCTGCCTCAATGATAGCTTCTTGTCTATGCCATATATAACCTGAATGCGTTGTCACACCCCAGAAAAGATAAACAAAATATTGTCACAGACCACTTTTCCCAAAGACAATCTTATTTCATTTATATTCCAACATTTTGATTCTTGGATTGCTGCTTTTGGTTCAGGTTTGAAGAAAATGTTGAAGTTTGTGTTTTGTGCATGATAAATGAGAAGCACAAGGAGATCTGTATGAGTACTGTATTTGAGGTTTGGACACTTTGGATTGCAGTTTTCACAATCACAATATCTGCATCCGATTCTGAATGTAGCACATGTACACTCAATGTTTTCCAACCTGACAGACAGATTTACCATCATTCCTACGCACTGAAATTATATTAATGAAAGACTCCCCAGATATTTGAGATTTAAATTTTGTAATTGCGGATTGTAAATAATAATTTAAACAATATTAAATTCCACAGAAACTACAACTTACATTATTTAGATAAGCCTAGTATAGAGCAGTTATCAAATACCCTAATATCAGAGTGGTGATATGTAATTATTCATCAAATACAAGTGAGGTCACCTTAACATTTCACCTGGTGCAACTAATAATTCCTAGTTTTCATACTAATAAGGTATAAACCGTCACAAAACTTGTAATTTAGATGATGGCAAACCTATATAAATGATTTAGATGTCAA